GAGGAGCTCAGGTGGGGTGTGGGACGCGGATGCGGGCGGGCCAGGGAGCGTGGGCGATGCGGAGGATGTGGGCGCGGGTGGGGGGTAAGACGCGGGCGCGGGCGTACCAGGGGGCTCGGGCGGGGCATGGGATGCAGGCGTGGGCGGGCCAGGGGGAGCGGGCGGGGCGTAGGACGCGGGCGCGGGCAGGCCAGGGGCGCGGGCGGGGCGTAGGACGCGGGCGCAGGTGTACCAGAGAGCTCGGGCGGGGCGTAGGACGCGGCGCGGGCAGGCCAGGGGCGCGGGCGGGCGTAGGACGCGGGCGCAGTGTACCAGAGAGCTCGGGCGGGGCGTAGGACGCGGCGCGGGCGTACCAGGGAGCGCAGGTGAGGTGTGGCGCACGGGAGTGGGGGAGGATGCCGGCGCGGAGGTGGGTGTGATGACTTGCTCACTGAATGTAACAGCCATTGGGCTGAGGTGCGCGTCGTAAGCCTCACGCCAGGCCGTGAACTCCTCGTCGGTGAGGAGTCGGAACGCCGTCGTCCCCCCTCCCAGGCTGAATAGAGCGTGTTGAGGTACTTGAGGGAGTTGAACCGGCCAGGGGCTTGGAACACTTCGACGGGCCAGTTCTCAAGGACGACGCCATATTTGAGCGTGATCCTGTTTGCAAAGTCGAGGTAAGACATCGCCGAGGGCTTACCCCGCGTCGACGTCGCGTCTGGAGGATAGCTGTGAGCATGTAGACTAAATGAGGGAGCATGGACTTACGGAGCTTCTCGAGTATGAGAGTACCGACCTTCGACTTAAGCTCCAAGACCGTGTTCTTGTGTTTCTTTGTCAAGCCTGTGCGACCACGCTATGAATGTGGGAGAAGGCGACTATAAATATGCGTGTGCGTACCTTTGATACCAGTGAGACACCATGCTTCGATGCGCGCAGCGAGCTTGCCCAACGTCGCGCCACTGAACAGCTCCACGAATTCCTCAAGTCGCTCGCTGGTCCGGTACACCCAAGGCTTGAGGTGATTGGCCTGGTCGCCGCGGCACGCGAAGAGCAAGACCTCCACGCCGGTGCGCTCGTGGAGATCATTGAGCTGCGGCACAGGTAGATGTCAGCAGGAGGCAGATGGGGGTAAATGGGGCGTCGCACCTCTTTGGCGACATCCTGGAGTGTGGCGCGAGTATCGTTGAAATTTGCGACGGCGAGGTTAGGCACTGGACGCCCCCGCTCCTCGCGCCGCTCGTTCAGTTCCTCGACCTTGTCGCGAGAGACATCTTCGCGCTCTTCATTGGACATCGCAGCCCAGCGCTCGGCGAGGGTCTTGATGAACCCAGACGACACACGGTCATTGGTGTTCAGGTCTGATAGATCGGCGTTAGTTATGGCAGCGTGTGTGCGAGATACGGCATACCTTGGTTGTGGGCGCAAAGCTCTTGGCTGACGAACGCATTCCACAGTGAGAGGGCGCGTGGCTCCTTGAAACGGATGTTGCTCTGGTGGAGGATGAGGCGGTAGTACCACGCCGCGCTGTGCTTGCCCAGGTCTTCGTGGAGCGATACAGCGTGGTCCCATACCTCATCCCGGATGGCGTCGAGCCTGTTGTTGAGCGTCTGCTTGTAGACCTTCGACTTCTCACGCAGTGCCTTCTTCTCCGCATAAGACAGCTTCGCGCGTGGTCGACGCGAGGCCCACGGTATCTTGACGCTTCTTTTACCCACCTTGCGCGTGGATTGAGGTAACTTCTTGATACCATCATGGCCGTTGAGCGCGGGGGCGTCTGCTCGGGCGTGCCATGACAGGAGCGCGCGATGAGAAGCGGAGGGAGGGCGGGAAAGAAGCGAGGTGTGGGAGTGGGGGATCTGGGAGCTGGGAGAGACTGTCAGCAGGGCAAAAAAAACACCACGGAACGTTGTTGACTAGAGCACGTGATGATATGAGTAAAACCATTCATCCCATTGTTACTCATCGTTATCGAAAGGATACAAGATAGCATCATATAGACGCTCTAGACTCGCGCCATCCAGCGAGGGTGCTTGGACGCGTCGTAAGCGAACTCCTTCCGCGAAGCTGCACCCGCGAAGACCTGCAAAAGGTACATAAGTTCTGAGTCGTCCGGGTTAAGCTCCTTGAGGATGGGCTTCGCCCTTGACCCGAGGTCAACTGCGAAGGGATGGGCGTCCGCGGCGGCTTGCTCAGGGGGAATGAATAGCAGCCGATAGCGGCGGCGAGCACACCTGAGCCCTCGACATCCTCAGTCCGGGGCGCGCATGGGACCACGCGGTCCTGTAGGCTCGTACCCTGTTGAAAGGCTGTGAATGGTGATCAGTGAGTCCATTGTGATGCCAATACATGGAATGTCATACCATGTGCGAGCGCGTCGCCGGAAGGGGGCAGCGCTTGCTCGCGCTGCTTCCCGCGCGACAGGGCAGGAGTTGCCCACTGGACGGAACTTCTGCTCGGGTCGCCGGAGTGCTGTGGGGAGGCGCGCGGCGTACGGGAGTACAGAGCAGAGCGGGAGCTGGGACGAGGCGGAGCGGGGCTGGGATGATGGGCAAGTCGAGTCGATGTCGAGGGGGAAGTTGTGCCCGGTTTTCATAACCATATACGCGATGGCGCTGGCCACGGACAGACCCTTCTTGTCGAATCGCTTGTACCGGCATGAGTATTGCTTGATGTGCCGTTCGCCCTCTCCGATTTGAAAGCCGATGTGAGCCCTGAGGATTCTGTCAATACAATCCATGGGACATGCGATAGCGACTTACCAAGTGACCCCAATGAAAACACCGGTATGTCTGCCTTCTAGCGCGGCACGGACACTGTAGATCCGCTCGCCGCGCAGCGATATGTTGGCTTCTTGTACACGCCACACGGCAAGATGGACGTCATGAGCCGCGGTTTGATAAAAGACCGTCGCGTTGAGAGCGTCGATGGCCTCCGCGTCGTCGCGGTGCATGCAGCACACTACGATCGGGTAGATGGCGGGATCTTGCCCTAAGCCCACCTGTGGCCTGTACGATGTTGGTGAGCATATGACGGGTGTGAGAGAGCAGTGAGAATCTACCGAGTGCGCGTGATGCGCGGCGACACTCTGCGTGTGTCCGGCCCCAGAAGCACGTACCAAGGACCGGAAGACGCCGCCGGGTCAGATAGCAGCGGGTTATGCATGCTTCGGGGCGGGAGAGCGGACGGGGAGGGGTGATCGATGCGGAGAAGGAGGAGCTACGCGGAGAGGCGCCCATGCTTCTCACCTGTCATCTCACGCGAATCCTGATCTTCGGATGCTTTACAGGTCCTCCCTGGCATCCGGTGAGAAATCTGCCAACACGCATGTATTTGTCATGCATCTCGGCACACAGGCCGGGTATTTGATGCCCCTGATTATGCTTGCAATAGTATAGCATACTGCGAGGCATGATTGCATGCAAAGCCTCACGGTTTCCTTGCTTCGGGTGTGCACCAAACGTCCTTACGATGTCCTGGGACTGGTATAGTAACATTGACATTGAAATAACACATGGAACGTCCTATATACACATTATACGTTGTATACCATTCATTTGGACGTGTCAAAATACCGTACATAGGTGTGGAATTATGTTTTTGTCTTGGAAACAGCTCGTTCAAACGGGCGCTAGAAGCCCCCAGAGCCGATCTACGCTACTGAGCTACGAAGTCGAGCAGAGCGCTCTGCTGCGCCTGCATATCGTCATCGTACATACTCTCCGGGCTCACATCTGTCTCGATCGCGCTGTCATCGGGGGAAATGCGTGGAATGGATGGCTCCGGAGGGGGAGCTCTGCCCTCACGGCGGCCCGGCGTCTTCTCGCCCTCGAAGCGAGGATCATTATGCAATTCATTGAGGAATGCCAGGTTGTACCCATTGGCGGCCTCGCGGTGGCGAACGAACTCCATAGTCGGCCCATAAAGGATGTCGTTGGTCTCTTTGAGCTGCTCAAGAAGCGTGGCGAAGTCTTGCTCTTCGTCGCGAATGTGCGTGTGGAGGCGGCGCGCATCGCGATAGATGATCTGGATCTCCTCTCGGGCGCGTTGCAAGCGCCGCCAGGTCCCGATCGCCTCCCGGACTTCCGGACGCGCCCAGACTTTGCCGCTGACGTCATTCCATGATCCGTGCAGAAGTGCAAACTCCCGAATGAACGAGTAATGCGAGATCTGAGTCCAGTCAACGAGTGGCTTCTGCACCGTGACGGCGGCCCTGTTGTACGTCGCGATAGCACGTCGGATTGCAGCTGACCGTTTCTGCATGTTCTTCGCGATGTGAGTCCGCATCTTGTAGCCTTAGTCATGCGCTTTTGTCAGCGCTTGGTCAAATGATTACATGATAACCCACCTGTCTGCGCGAGATGAAGCTTATGTAGCTCGAACAAGCGTTGAATCACAAGGCGTTGAAGCCTTCCCAGGGCCTGCTGATAGCGTCGTGTTGACATGTACACCTTCGCCGTGGTGTAGCGCGGATCGGTGGGCAGCCATCGCGTCATGCCCCAGGTGTCCTCGATCTCGGCTAATTCTTGATCGAGGGCGTCGATCCGCTCGCGGAGCACGCGGTTCGCGCTCTCCGTTCTCCGCGTCTCTCTTACGTGGGCGTTATAGTCTGTGATCGGACCAGTGTACGGTGCCTGGAACAAAAGCCCGGGCCGTCGGAAGATGCAGAGCCGCCGGTACCCGCGCGCGCGTTCCCAGGGGGCGCGAGTGGCGGAGCTTCGCGCGGCGGCTGCTGCCCGAGCATGAACTCGCGCGTCGCAGGGTTGCGCGTCGCGCGCTTTGTGGCCGCGCGAGTCTTCTGAGCATATTCATCCCTGCGCGCGCGTCAGAAGCAACCCGCGCCCTAACAAAACGTGACTCACTTCATCGCTCTAAGGTCCTCGAGGCGCTCAACATAGCTTTGTGCCCATTCGTCTTCCGGATTCTCATCGCGAAGCGTCGCGAAGTAGACGCGCTCGTCTTCCGCCGCCTCGATCAACTTCTCCTCGGTGAGATTGAGCTGGGGCAGAATGCTGGCCAAGAATGGCTCCGATTCTTCAATGATCTTCATTGCTTGGAGGAAGTTGTTGCGGAGGAATACCGCGAGATTAGTATACTTTTCTTCATCCCAGCGGCGGAAATAGAGCACAATCATTGCGTGCCGCCGATACTTGCTCGCGTAGCGGGTGATCGAGGCAAGCGCGTTTGATCCGCTGAAGATCCGCTCCATGGTTTCGAGATCCTCAATCCCGGCGCCGGCGGTAACATTCGGATGATGGTGGAGCTGGCAGACATAGGAGTGGGAATAACCGTGGAAAGCGTTCACAATGCACTGAGAGCCGCGCTTCTGGAACTCGGGACCAGCGCTGCTCCGGGCGAGGGTCCCCTGAAAGACGCAGCCAATGTCATAGCCGAGAAGGATGTTGCCGGGCAACTCAGTGTTTATTTTGTCGACCATCGCGATCCCGTACTTGGCGCTAAAGGTGATCGCTAAGTTTCCGAGCTCCACGGAGCCATCAAGACTTACAGTTCACCGCTCTGGATCATATCTGCAATCCAGAGGATCCTCCCATGCCTGCAGGCACTAGCAAAGATGCCAGTCTCGTCGAACCCACCCCATGCCTTCTTCTTTTCGTCCGCCGCTGCCGCCTTCCAGTTCGTAGCACACGGGCTCGGGGCACCCGGCTCCCCATCTGTGGGATCGCCTTCCGTCGCCACTGGCTCGCGGGCCGGCGCGGATTCGGCCGGGTCGTGGGTGATGTCGTCATCACCATCTTCTCCGAGATCCGCGGTCGGCTTCGGCTGTGCCTGCCGCGCAGGCACCTGATGCGCAAACTTGTCGACATATTGTGGGCTGAGAAAGTAGTTGTTCTTGTGTTGTCGCAGGTCTCCTCGGTCTTGATATTTGCGCATAAGTCTTTTCAAGGAGTTATTGCCGTCCTTACTGCCCATCCGGTTGTAGTGGAGGACCGGCTCTCCTTCCAGCTGCGTGAGAAGTCGTTAGCAGTCCGTCTGACGTCACCACGTGCCACCCGCATCAAATGGAGGATGCGTGCCTTGTATCCGCATGGTGGGCACCCGAAGCGCGGGCGCCAGTTCGGATCACCCCGTCCCAGCTTCTCCATGATCCCTAGCTCCACTTCATCGAGAACCTCCAGGTATATGTCAAACGCGTCCGCTAGCGCAGTGCGATAGTGGCGACGATATGCCATCTGTTCCAGGTATGTCAGACCAACTATTCCGCTGCGCTAGAGGAGCAACTTACATAGTACTTGTAGCAGACAAGCTTGGCAAACGCCTCGGTGCTGAATGATGGCTTTACGAGCTTCAGGCACCGGAACAGCTCGAGCGTCTGGAACGAGATCCCCATCGACGGCACCATCGGGGTGTTAGCGAGATATCCCGCGCAGGCGAGTGCCTCTACTGTCCACTGGTTGGATGACACAACCACGCTGACTTCCTTTTGCAGGGTGTACAAGTCGACACAGACGACTGTTTGTTGTTGCGGCGCCGCCTCTGTCTCAGAGGGAGTATCATCTTCGGGTGCTCTCCGCTTGCGTTCCTCTTGCGGGCGGGGATATCCGTACTTCCATTGTAGATATGCGGCCTTGATACGCGGGAATATCTGCTGCCAGTTGTCGTCCATCGTGCGGCGACGATCGCGCCAGGTACGCTCATCCGTGTGCACACTGTTTGGCATGTCAAGGATCTACGACCAGAGGGCATAATTAACATGCTCACCCCGATTGCAGATCATTTTCTAGAGCTGCACGGAACGCATCAACGTCCGGATCGTCCGCCCATGCACCATTATCTTCGTCATCATCCGCTGCAGTGGCGCCGGCATTGTCTATGTCTCCGAGATTGATGTCCACACCCTGCGTGTCGTCCATTTGGAACTCGGCGACCGCCGCGGCGCGATCTAAGCCACTGAGATCTATTGCTTGGTGAGTTTCCTAACTCTTGTACCTGCCGTGCGACATACTATTGACTAGGTCAACGCGTCGCCTCCGCGCGGACTCGTCCGCCTTGTCTATATCGGTCGCGCGGACCTTCTCCTCCTTGAAGGTATGCCCGCCATGTCCTTTGTTTTTGCCGCCTCTAGGTCGGTTCCGTGGACCAGCGATGGTGACTCTATCGGACACTCCGTGGCGGTTGCTGGCTTGGGAGAAGGACATGTGTAGAGGTTTGATCTTCACTCCCTCTCTGTGTTTACATTGTTATACTATCTAATCATTATCCATCTAATCACTTTGGCGCTCCACAGCCATCACTACGAGGCGTTGAGTCTGCAGCGCCCGGTGCCCGGCGCCGGCGCCCTCGCGCTGATGGCGCGGCGCCCACGCAGCGCATCAATCATTCCCGCGGTTCCTGTCCATGCGGCGCCCGCACCATCAGAGTCCCGCCTCCCGCCAAGGCGTTCAGTATGCTGACATAATGTCCCGCCCTCCCCATATGCGGGAGCGGCGGGCGGTGGCGGGCGGTGGCGGGCGGTGAGGGCATCACAGAGAGCGTGTCTAGCTAGTGATTTGTGTAAATAGATGCGCATTCTTAATACAAGTACATACAAAAAACAACGGAGCGAATCGGACAAGGGGAGGGGGAGGGGCAAGGGAAACAACGAGCTCGCCGTCCCCGACGGCGAGCACGGGGGCGCGGGCGGCCATCACGGACGGGCGGCGCGAGGGGAGACGCCAGTGGGGGCGGCCATCAGGGAGCGCGGCACGGGAAGCCGCTCACGTGGTCCGGGAGAGCGCAGGGGAGGCTGGGCCGGGCCCTCGGGGACGTCGGGGACAGGGGCAGGGGACTTGCGCATAAGCCCCCGTTTTACCGTTTCCTCTCAGGGAATATCAAGCGTTATTCGTAGAGGGTCTACTAGTGGCAGGGGAATAGGCATTCGCAGTCGCCGGAACTAGTATCAGCCCAGGGGGGTGATGGCAGATCAATTGATTGCAATAACGTGAGGTACGGGTGGCGAAGAGCTGGATCATTCTCAGTGGTTTGCTCGTCATTTCGAAGGGTGTGTAGTAGTAGTCGTCTTATTTGATCGCGCTGGATGCTGACAAGGGACCAGCTCCGCGTCGCTCCCACTCAGCCCGCCTACCCAGGTGAGTCCGTCCCTCTTCCACCGCTTCTCCGCGCCCCGATCTCTGCGATCTATGTCCTACAAGTCCCCCCAACGGTGCGTTCGCCGTATTTCTCCACCCACGTTGAGTACTCATGCAGCGTCCTCGTTCTCGCTATGGAGCTCGTCAAGGTGTTCGACGGATGCTCCACATCACCCTCCACTTCCGCGACCTCGACGGCAACGCTCGCCGCCAGGTTCGGGCCGCGTTTCTTCGTCGCGCGGGGCCCGGCGCCTGCGGCTTCGTGGACGTGCTCTTCGTGCCCTCGGCGGTGCCGTACGACGCCGAGGCCTCAGGCGCGGTCCTGTGCGATGGACGTCGAAGATATCAGAGCGATGGTGTGCCACTGCGGTCAGTGCGGCGCGGCGCGCCCAGTCCAGACCGGTATCAACGTCGTCAAGGTACACACCGTGTATGGGTATGTGCCACACACCTTCCCGAGTCCGGTGGCGAACTAACACAAGGACGAGTGCGTCTTCTATAACAGCCGTGCGTCCGAGAAGTAGCACTCGGGTTCCTTGTGCTGACCTCATCGTCCCAGGTGGATGACAGAAGCTGCGGCGACACTGGCAGTCGACCTGCCCCTATGGCGATTGAGGATGAGCAGGGCGCCACGCGAAGGGGGACGCGTGCGCGAGGGCGACAGCTGCTCTAACCACCGCGCACGGTTCTGGTGCAAAGCGTGCGCATGCGTCTCGAACCCTGCCACGGGCAATACGTAGTACTGCTCTAATACACGTTTAATCTGATTCCATTCACGAAGTAACACCTGCGTGCCTTGGAGTGCCTACCATCGACTGCGACAGTGCAAGCAGAATTTTTTATCTTTAACTTCTGGTTTCTCTGGCCCGACTGAGATCTCTCACAGAACGTCTCACCGAAGGATCAAAATGAGAGAAATTCTGGACCTCTCAAAACGTCTCAAACCGTCTCAAACTGTCTCAAAGCATCTCAAACCTCTCCACAGAGGTTTTCAGAGATTTTGGGAATTACTGATGTGTTGGACCCCTGGGGCGGGCGAGAGGGGTCCCGGGTGACACCATGCAATCATAGGAGTAAGGTACTCACCACCTGGATGCCAAAATTGCACAGGCTAACACCGTCAGAGGTCTTGAACTGCGTGAAGATGAGTGTTGTCCGGAGTAGATCACGCACTCGGGGAGGGGCTACGGGGCCCTTGCCATGGGCTCTGGAAGGGGGCAGCCGGCAACCATGGGGCTCTCGACGGCGGGGTCGAGTTGCATAGGGATGTCCTCGTTTATGTCTATGGGGCCGTATGGGTCGAGGGAGGCGCCGGTCGAGCAGTCATCGTCGTGGTCGTGGTCGAGGTCTGAGAACTGGGCCGCGGAGAACAACGACACCGTAGTTTGACGGAGGAGGAGGAGGAGGAGGAGGAGTGTGGTGGTGGTGGTGGTGGTGATGGCAGCTTGGAGTCTCGGTCTGAGACGACGCAAGGACGCGTGTCACCGAGGAGTCGGAGTTGTCACCGTCGCCGAGTCGTCACGCGTCATGCTTGGGCGCTATTTGGCGTGCCAACCGCGTTGCGTCCTCGACGTGTTGAGTCACCGCTCTGCTGTCACTTCCATCTAGTCTCCTCTCCTTCTATCCCTCTGGTCCCAGATCTCAGGGGTTGCTCAGGTTCGTGTCGTCTTCTCGGATGAATGAACTCCGCCTCAACTGACTCTGCTTGTTTGCATGATGCCCTCCTCGAGAATCGAAGGAGAAGCGGGCGTAGGTGTGTTGCCAAGCTTCCACGTGCTATTCCGCACTTTGACTGGAGCCAACACTCTCCTGGCTTCGTCTCCTCTGCCTCCTCACTGCCGTATCTGGTCCCTCTGCTGCTCGCCACCCCTCGTTGTTCAAGAAGCGGCCATCCGGCGGCCCTCTGGCCCGGGCTCGCACCAACTTAGTGGACGTGAGTTCCCGTGCCTCTTCCTTGTGCTTTGCCTGTATTTTTAATCTCCCACCTTCCCCCTAACTAGGACCTGTACTACAGTCATGAAGAGACTACGAAGATCTGCGCGCGATTTAAGTTGTCACGCGTTTCTTTGCTCCCCGTCCCGTTCCTGGGCACGCGGAGCAAGCTCCTCGTCCGGTTCGCACCATCGTCGGTGTCGGTGTCCACCTTCCCCGCGTCGAGCACGCCTCATCGACGCCGCTCGGCGACGAGGTGCTTTGAGGTTCTCTGCTACCGGATGCAGGGCGCAAAGATCAGGCGCGATGTGACGGCCATTGACTCACGAGCTTGTGGGCGCGCCTGGGTGAGTGCGACGTTCTGACGCTCCACGACGGCTGCCGGATCGTCAATGCGCTCGTTGCGCGGCCTCTGTGACGAGTGCTACGGCTGCTTCAGCTTCAATCCGATTGTTGTCAGCCGTGGTGCTATGGTCAAAGCACGCGTCCACTCACGACGGACCGCCACACACAGTGACAGTGCAACCGCGCGGCACTCCCGCAGCCTCAAAGCGTTCGTAGAGGGTCCACTCATCTTCCTTGTCAAGTTTTCCGCACACCTGCCCTGGTTCGTCGCCCTCTTTGTCCTCCTCTCCCAACCCGCGCTGAAGGGCAACCTCGACGCACTTGAGGGCGTGTACACGTCATTTCCAACTACTGCCACGCGCACACGCCGCCCACGCACACTCACTCCGCGAGCAACACTACACCTGACTCGCCGAGCTACGCGCTGATCCCACACTAGCACGTCTACTCGCTGGGCTGAAACGTCCCCGCCTCGTTACCCAAGCTCGTCATCGCGTTCGTCGCACTGCAAGGCAGCCTGTACGCGGAGAGATAGGTGACGGGGATATCGAGATCGGGTACGTATTCAGGTAAATTCTCGTTGACAAACCTATCGTAGGGTGTGCCATGGGTATCTGTACACTATCGCAGTACTTAGATCACGAAGCAATGGCAGCTTTATGTGTGTTCAATCTATGTGTGCTAATATGTCACGAGCAGTGGGGGAAGTCGTACACCTGGTGCTACTTGTCGAGATCCAGTCGAATGTATCATTATTGGCTAACTGCATGTACAGATATTCACTACAGCTGCTCAAACATGTCAAATTATGCCTCATTCACCCCATAAGCAACCAGAAGGAAGGTGATAGTGTCTGTAAACTGCGGTGAGTTGGAACAGCGGCAGTATTTCGGCGTATATCGGCTTACCAATATTTTACCTCTCAATAGGAATTTGGGTTTTTCCTGATGGAAGCGGAAAGGTCGTGGTTTGTGACAAGAGCTCGAATGGTCTCTGCGCAACTTGCAGCGCACGAGGACGGTTCCTGGCCTCTGGGCGGCCCGACGGGGCGCGCAAAGCCAGGCGTCGGCGCTAGTGTTCACGATGGGAGTAGCGTCGAAATATCATGTGGCCTTGTTGATGTCACTCCCGTGAATTTTATTCCAGGCCGTTGAAGTGTTTGACTCTCCACGTCGCTCAGCCAGCCACAAATCCTTGCACCGGTGACTTGCGTCTGCATTGGTATGCAACATTCACTGCTGCTCTCCCCCCTGCTCTAGTCTGTCGGGCGTCGTCACAGATGTAGGCTGACTACTGTGCGGTCTCCGTACGTGCAGTGCATCTACATACAATCGCTAACTAGACATCCGCCAGCTCAGCAATGCCTATTTATGCGGTGGGTTCTTCCACCCCTCGTCTAGGTGCCGCCGTTGTCCCTTGGTAACCATTCACGACGTGACACGCTTTCAGCAGAAAAACTTCCCCCTGGATGTCGTCTTGGATATCATGGCTTATTCCGATGATTGCACGATCTCTCGGCTTATGCGAACGAACAAATGGCTGAACTATCAAGGCTCGAGGCTCCTTCTCGACACCGATATCGTCACCATCACACCAGTTCCGCCCTCGGTTCCTTCGCCAGATTTTTGTCCGCTCAAGACCTATATCGGCTCCCCCTTCTACGCGGCCTGCGTCTGGGATGTTCTCTATCGACGAAGCCGACGCCGAACTCATGGGTGCGGTTCTGTGGCCTTACGCACACAAATCAAAACTGCGCATCACCAAGCTCGAGATTCTCCATCTCGAATATCTAGCCCACGATGGCCTTGCGGTCCTCGACATGTTATGCTCGCTTGAAGACATCCGGACGGTTTACCTTGATGACGTCGGTCATCTCAGCGCCTCGAACGTGCTCCGCCGCTTCAGCTCCCGGCTCACAACCGCACACATCAACTGGGACCCGCATTACGACGAGATTTGCGGACCCTCAAGATTCGACCGGGAGTCGCGCAACCCGGTTGTAGTTCTCGACCACTCCTCCTCCACGCTGCAGACGCTCACTGCGGAGTGGGCGGACCTCTCGGTGCGGGGCCGCGCCAACATCGTCTACCCGCGCCTGAAGAGCCTTACCCTTGAGTACGTATGGCCCAGGATCACCGCCTACCTCGCGGAGGTGTACCCGAACCTGAAAAACCTCGACATTTCCGTCCTTGAACACATGCTGGACCCACCCGAGGATGTAGAGCGGCACCGCGCGCACAACATCAGCGAACAGATCAGCCGCGGATCGTGGCCGTCCCTCGATACGGTCAGCGGGGAGCTGATCGACATCTTCGTGCTCGCCATCGCGTGCCCAGTCCGCCGGCTCCACATCCGGGACCGAGGGAAGCCGTTCGCCGTCGACGACTTCAACGCCCTTCTGGCCCGCTCACGGCCGGCGTACCTCTACTTCGACCATTTCGAGGGCGATTTCCTCTCCTCAGACATGTGCGAGACGTTTCGGGCGCAATTCGCGGACCAGGTGGAATGCCTCGAGGTCACCTTCGCCCTGGGAAGGTCCTCAGGGTACCCAGCGTCGACGGTTCTGCGATGGTCGTGAGTGACAGACCCGCTTCTCGATTCATCGACGCTGACCACACTCCCCCCTCGTATGACAGGAGAGTTGGCTGGTCGCCGTGTCAGCGCTTCCCGGCCTCAAGGTCCTCGGCATCGCGTGGACTGCTTCTTCGTCGAAAAAATTCCTGCATCAGCCGAGAGTTCTTCGAGGCGCTCGACCTCGGGGCCCTCGCGCGCCGGTTCCGCGAGGCGGTCCCGACGCTCGAGTTCGTCGAGCTCGCGGTCGCGGGCCTGGAGAAGCGCAAGTCGGCGGTGGTGCGCGACGGGAAATCGAGCGTGGGGTACGAGACGAGCGCCGTAGAAGCCACGCTCCGGGAAGTCGGGCAGAGGAAGAGATGGTGAGACGAACGTTTCGTAGATGTGGTTCCTCGCGCCAGATGTGACCAGTCACGAGAGCGGGCGTGAATGAAGAGCCTGTGCAGGAGCATATACTCGAACAGATGATTTGCACAGCGAGGTTACAATCTGGACGCGCGTGCGCTGGGTCAGACCGTTAGGTTTTCAGGAAAGCTCGCGAGACCTGGATCTCTGGGGCGCGCGCGCTCCCCCGCCTCCTCAAACGCACGCGCCCCGCGCAGCTCGTCCTCACGCAGTTCGAGGGGGTCCTCTTCGCGCCAGTGTTCACTGAGATGCTGCGCAAATCGTGCGCGGCGCGCGTCGAGGACTTCGAGGTCATGTTCCGGATGGGGCGCACTGTGCCTGCATGGATGCACTCTGCCGGCAGACCGATCGGCGCCCCCGCAATGGTAGTGAATCCCCGGCCCGCGCTGCTCCTCTTGACGTCGTCGGCCATCGTGCTTGTGTGTGAGAGCTGTGTCACCGGGATTCGCGGGCTGCCGCGCGTCCGGGTGATTAGCACGACGCGTTCCACCAGTTCACGGGGAGCGGTTCTTCGCCGCGCCAGACCTCAGCGCGCGCGAATCGCATACTGCGCTGTTGATGGATGTACCGGGATGAAGCTTTCAACATCCGCGAACAAGGTGCGACATATTGTACGATGACGTCGCTACCTATGGGTCGTAGCGCCAGCTATCAGAAAACATTCCTGGAAGTACATGTGAGATCACCCTCAATACGCGGTGCAGGAGAGACACTCACCAGTCAGATCCCCCGGCTGGAAGTCCACGCTCTCGATCACATCGCGCGCCCACTCGCCCTTCTCCTTCCAGATCTCGATCGCCCGTCTTTCTTCTCCCTCTCCCTCCACCCACCACCACCGCTCGTTCCGAAGCCCCGCAGTCTCGTCCGCTCGTCGCCTCAGTTCGCGCAGATGCTCGTCAACCTGGGGACTCGTCTCTCCCCACTCCTCGTCCACCGCGTCCTGCGCCTGGATGGCTGTGTCGAAATCCGGTTTCACGTCCTCCCAGAATGGTTCCGACCGCCCGCTCCGCAGATCCGTAAAATTCAGAATCGCCTTGCACCCCAGAAGCGAGAACACTCGCACGTGCGGCAGGGCGCGCAGGAGTGCATCTGGGAGTGCGCGGAGGGTGTCGACCCGGAGCACCTCGGCCGCGCGCATCTCGTTCGCGTGCGCCATGGCGGTGTGTTTGCTCATTAGTGGCGTGTAGGGAGCGTTAAATTGAAGCGATAAGTACGTGAGAGGAAGAGGAAGGAGCGCATCTAGAAGCATGCTCTGTAACAGCATCCAAGTATGAACGCTGGACCATCGACAGAAATTGACACGCCGCCGCGAGGGCTCACCATGAAGTCCCCGTTCAACGCGGTGTCGTATAAACCCAACACCAACGACCGCAGCTGCGGAAGCGTGTTCGCCACCTCCTTCCATGCGTACTTGACGAGATCATGCTCCGTCTCGAACTGGTCCATGGACGGCCACCACTCCAAGTTGCCCCATTTGAGGTACATCAAGTGCAGGCAGGACGGTAGGGTCTTGCTGAGGATGGGGAGGTAGTCTTCGTGGTGGTCCAGGTGCCTATCGTGGATCGTCACCTTTCTCGCGCGTCCAAGACAGTCCGTGAACGAAGTTGACCAGGGCATCGAGCAGTCAAGCTCGTGGATGGACGGCCAGATGTCTTTGGTGAGCAGCGAGAGATGCGCAAGGTGGTCCTCTTTCATTTCATAAACCCCCTGAGTCTCCCAGCAACCCAACTCGAGCGTGATCAGGTTTGGGCAGTACGCGACGATGTTTGCGGACGCCTCCGAGACGAGGAGCTTGATGAACATGTGGCGAAGAGATGAGAGCATAGGAATGGTGCGCATGGTGGTAGAGCGTGGCGGAATGCCTATGGCAGGACAGATCAAGGAGAGGGTGGATAATGAGGGGAGAGCGGCGAGTGTCGTTAGGAGTGCAAAACCTTGTGAAACATCCCAGTATTCGTTATCTTCAGGGTCTTCCGGAAGCGAGAGAGTGACATTAGTGAGGTGGGGAGCGGCGAGAACGGCAGAGAGGCTCGGTAGGGTTGTTGAAAAAAATTCTTGGAGTTCAATCTCTGTGAGCCGTACCAGGTTGGGGATACCTTCGACGAAGCGTGGGTGTTGCTCTATCAGCCTGCTGGAGTGGCCGCAATGGAGTGACCGGAGGTTTGAAAACGAGGGTAAGGCTTCTAAGAGGGAGGCCATCTCGGTTTCGTCCTTGGGATAGGTCCAAACACCAAGCGCTCGAAGGTAGCGCCTTCGGGGGACACCCAGGTACTTGTCGTCTCCGAGGATGTACTCCCATCGAGACGTCTCGGACTCTCTCCTATTGTATGGATAACTTGCGTCGTGAAGAGTGCTGGGTGTCGCTAAGCAGTATGCATATTTCGACATGCAAGCCACCGCGCGCGCGTCTTTGTGGGAGAGGAGGGAGATGATGAGGAGCAGGACGTCGTCGTCGATGGACAGCACGTTCTTCACGTTTTCCATCGTGCTTCAAGGATGGTCTCATCAGCAGTTATACTTTGCAGGAATGAAACATAAACATACGCCAACCGCTGACTAGAAGATAGTCAATGGGATCGAGTCGATCAGGGAGGATTGTCTAACAGCTGAGGAGGATCAAGACAAGGAGCACTAGTATTTGAATTTTGGAGCGCGCGACTTTAGCCCAACGGCACGTGATTTTATTTCCAATGGTAATCATATCTGGGGACAGGCTGTATCTCTAGGAAAATTGGCCTACGCGGCGCGTACGACGACTATTCGGAGTACTGTCCCACACAGCCGCTGAATTGGTGCTGGTTCTGCGTCGTAGACAAAGAGGACACACGAGCACTGGGGCATATCTTGAACGATTACGGGGTTGCGAGTCGCACGGGAGTAAACGGGCGTTGTAACATGTACATGCACAGACGTTGCGCCACTTCAGACCGCCGACCTCGCCCAGGACGCGCACCACCTCCGCGTAAGGTAGTCCCGGCGCAAACACGACTACGTCAGGTGACCTTGGCGCCGTCACGCTCGTCTGACGCCGGGGCCGTTTGGCACAGGGAGCACAATGTAAATCGATAGGATACTCAGGGTGCACTTTATCCGTTAAAGCGTTCTACGGAAGTTGTGAAACAAGATGTAATTCATATATTCCGTAAAGCAGAAGTGCAAAAATGTGAACGTTCAGAGAGGAGATAGTTCTGCACTGAGAAGGAGTATAGGTAAGTCAATTTCCATGGTACCTACAGGAACGCAGGCAAACACTGTTGCCGAATGCTGTGGCGCAAACTGGACTTCTACAGCTCTTCCAATATCGTTAGGCCGTTCTCGCGCAGGAGCGCGAGTGGGGTCGCGTTTAGTTTTGGAGCAGGCCATAGCGCGTAGCGCCCTCGCGCACCACCGCACGACGGGCAGCGCGAGCGCGAGTCCGCGCACCGCCGCGAGCACTGCTCGCACGCGGCGATGTCTCCGTGTGCACCCCCGTGCGCATAGGCTTGTGCTCGCGCGCGAGGGCTCACGTCCAAACTTCCGTCAGGACTTGAACGTAGGGCATAAGTGCCCTTGCACCAGGTGGAGAGGCCATTCCACAATGTGATGTGTCTGTCCGGTGATCATGCTGTTGCCCCACCTCGCCAGGCTCATGCGCGAGGAGTCTGCGGCGCACTTATAGATATCGCCACATGTGTGCGGTGCTCGCGGCGGTGCGCTCGGACTCGCGCTGCCCGTCGCGCGTGGTGCGCGAGGGCGTTAGGCGCCGTGGCCTGCTTCATTTAAAACTAAACACGCGGCCCCAGTAGTACTCGCGCTCCCACGCGAGAAAGGCATATCGATATTGGAACAGCTTTAATACCTAATCCCACGCGCATCCTTTTCCTTATGGTCTCCCGCACTGTACTGACTCCGATACACTTTACCTACTGTGCGCCTTTGGTTGAGCGCGCCAATGATATCTTCAGCCGCCGAACAGATAACTCCTCCTCACGTGCTCGAGTCACAGATTGTGACGCCCATCACACGTAGTCGTGTTTGCGCCGGGACTACCTTAATCGAGGTTGAGTGCCACCCGCCGCTCGTCTTCCGCCTTCCACGCGACCCCGCGAGGAGCGAGTTCAGCACCTGCAGTCGTCGTCCCCACTGTCCATCACGAGCAAACTCTGCAAGAGCGTACGCTGGTGCTGCAGCTGGTGCCAAAATGAACAAGGTTCACAAGCATAGCAGAGATGACGTACTACACCCCACTGGATCCCTCCCACGAACATGAAGCGCTCGGCTCGCGCAGGTATCCCGCCGTCGGCGGGTTCTGCACCTCCTTGATGACCTCCCTCACGTCCTCCGTGCGCGCGATGTGTGGTGAGGGCCGCACCAGCCCCGCCCCGTGCCGGTAGATGACACGCGGGGCGTCACCGCTGATCGACGCGAACCTCATTAACACGAACTTGAGAGCGTCAGACCGTAGAGAGGGAGGCCGCCGCCGTCGCAAGCCCGGCTTTGACTATTTGTTCCAGGTGGAGCGTCGTGTAGGGCTAGACGTTGCTGCATATCATGCATGCATGGGCGTGAAGAAGTGTGGACGGGGCTACGTAAAGAAGGGGTACCGAAACGACTGCGAACACGGCCGGTCCTCCATTCATGACGTGTTCGAGTAGGTCCATGGTGTTGGTAACGGCGAGCATCACGAGTGTCAAGCCGGCGAGAGTCGGCCACTTGAAGTTGCAAACGATGTCATGGTCTTATTTGCCCACAAGAATGATCCTACGGGTGGGTCAACGTTGTGGTCACTGAAGAAGGTCGAGATGCTCACCATGTGTGCCCTCCAGTCGGTGCGACCCGATACCCGCTCATGAGGTGCCGCGAGAGATGTCGCAGAGGTTCGTTCTAGACAGTCTTCATATGTCCCTCTTTCGCCGTGTCATGACCACAGACGGCCCCCGGGAGGAGACCGTACGCGGGCGCCGGCTGAGAAACCCTCAGGCTGTTGACCCCAAGGTCCGAGAGCGGGTTGGATTACTATGCGCGCACATGAGGGCGTGTTCGAAGCCTCCAAATCACCTACTCACCTCACTCTCAGCCAGCCGCTTCAATTCCCTCACTGCCGAATCCACCGTGGCAGTCTTCCCAATGTCTGTCTCGGCATCAGCCAGTGCACCCTGCACAAAGCAGAAACTGGACCTGTCGCTCCCTTTCTCCAACAGCTCGTCCGCCTTCAACACCCGTCCAACGACAAGGGAGCGCCCCCGGCCGCACGGCGACGTGCAGCACATGCACCGCTCGCTTCCACGCACTGCCAGCGCCGTTCTTCCGCCGCTTCAGCGCCGCCTTCGAGTGTGCGGTCGGATGCGCAAGCGACGCTCGGTCGACCCGTGGCCGGCGCGGTGTCCGTGGGGTCTTCGGCGTCCGAGGAATGCGCGGGGCCGCACCGGGTTTTCGACGCGAGGGTATCCGCGGAGCGTGGTCGTTGTCTTCGTTGTCTTCGTCTTCGGAGGAGGTTTGGGGACCTTGGAAATCGTCCGTGGAGTTTGACGCCTCGGACTCGGCGTCGGACAAGCGTGGGGCGAGGCGACGACACTTACGTGGGCGACCGCGGTCGTGGTGAGGTACATCGTCCTTTCTGCGGTGGAGACGTTCCGGCGCGGGTTCGAGGGTCCACGCGTCGTCATTCAGCCACATCTGAGTGCTGATCTGCATCGCAGCCTCATGGAACGCTTCCCAGTGATGCTCGTAGTAGGGACCCCAGGTGGTGTTGATGGCGAGACGGCAGAAGAAGAAGTCGACGACATGGTCGACGCGCTCTTTGACCATTGCAGAGGAGGAGGAAGAGACGGAGCAGCGGGAGATGATCGCGGATGAGGGGGTAGAGCACTTCGTTCTGGAGGATACATCAGCCGAGCGCTCTGCAGAGAGATGAGAGAACGACGCACCTCGCAAAACTCTCCGTTTGCACGATAAGGAAGTTCCCGTGGATGACAGACGTACGCGCAGGGGTGGCATCCGTCGCCCTCGGTGTTCTATATGGCCACGATGACTCCGACGCCGAAGAACCATTGCTGTCCTTGGGGCGGCTTGCATTGCCGTACGTTCTTGCCTTGGCTCGTTGGGTGATCTTGCGGGAGAATGAGGGTAGAATTTGCGTATTCAATTGCCAAGAGGTCTTCCGGGCGGGCAGGGCGGGCAGGGCGAGCATATAGATGGATGGAGGGGACGACATCGGAGTGAAATGGACATAGGTAGCCATGACGAGACGGTGAAGCCTGCCAGCTGTTCCACTCCGCGTCGACCACTCCTGCGATGAGTCTGCGGGGTACTCATGGGGAGGGTAGCTAGCGACCGTAGAAGACGGTGGTGACGAGAAGAACAGTGGGCGAGAGAAAAGTGGTCAGGATGCCGGCAGAGATGGTGGTCGAGGTCAAGTCGAGGGTGATTTCTCATTGGCGCGTCGTGCACCAGTCCTCGACCAGACGTGTTCGTGACATTCAGGCATGCCTGAGCTGGTTTGGTCTGAAACCTGCTCGTCTTGAAACTACCTCAATACCATCACCGATTGACCCGGGTACATATCTGCTCGACGCATCATCGTGTGCAAGATATGTAGTCGATTCTAAGTGATGGCCAGTCTGAGAATCGAACCAGCGAGCTCATGCCCGCGCCTACTCAAGCACAGCCAGACCCAGCGCGCTTCTATGTGGATATCATGTGGATGCGGAAGTTCTAGTGCGAAGATTCTGCCAGTCCGGGTTCACTTTATGACTGGAGGTTCTACATCCTTGCCACACTAGTAACATAAAGCAAGTAAGGAATTACTGGTATGGAGCACGAATACGATACTTATGGCTTGTAACACCAGCTATCGGAGAAAACTGGGGAAGAGATTGTAACGGTCCACGTTACGTCATGCACATTACGATCATCTCGGCTACCGCTTTCGGACTCATGCTATGTACCTGCATTTTGTATTCGACGTACCTTTCGAGCAACCAACACACCCTATAGATCCTACGACTACGCCCTACGGACGGCTCGGCGGCGTCCTGCTCGCCTACGACTCTCCTGCGGGCAGGCTATGTGACGTCCCGGCGCCACCGTCACAGAGATCCGACGATGGGCGAGAAGCCGGCGAGCTTTTCTAGCTGGATGGCTAGGTACACAACGAGCAGTGGGCACGAGGAGGCAGAAACTGAGGACTTAATAGTACTCATGCACCCCGTGTGCATCGAGAGAGAGGTGCTGCGGACGCGTCGAGACTTTGTCGGTTCACCTGTCGATGTGCCTGTCGCCACCCTAAGAAAATGCGCAAGATCCAGTCGAATGCTGCGCTGTCACCATACGATGTGTACACCCAGATGACAAGCATCCGTACAATCCCTCCCACAAGCTATACAACGCCTCCGCCTGCCTCCTCAGCACTGTCGATCGACGCCTCAAAGGGGGTACTTGAGAGCAAGCTCGACAGCGTACGCCATCGACTCATTGCGGAAGTCGTCCATCGTGATCTCCGTCCGGTTCCGGAGCCCGTCCACGAACGTCATCAGCTTCGGCTCCGCGACGCTGTACTGCGGCCAGCCGGGACCGTGGCCCCGTTCGGGTTCAGGTTGTTCGCGAAGTTGATCAGGTAGTCTGTGAGCTCCGCAGGACCGAATACGTTCACCAGGTCCGAGCCGTGGACTGAGCCGAGGGTGGGGACCCACTTGAAGCGCTTGCTCACTGCCGGAAGCGTCAGTATCGAGTCGAGACGGGACGTGCGACTGAGCGGGACGCACGGAAGGAGTACACGGGCTGGTCGTCGGCGCGTTGCTGGATGAAGAAGCGGCGGGCGGCGTTGAACACGAGGTCTCCCTGGAAGGCGGCGATGCGCTTGAACTGGGGCGTGATCGCGTTGCGGTCGCCAGTGTCGAACGGGGAGCCCTGGGTGACGTCGCTCGGGTAGGCGGAGAGGAGTGCGTCGAGCTCGGCGTCGGTGATGTCGGGGACGTAGATCTCCTTGACGTACTGCGCGAACTGGTCGTCCGTCGTCACATTCCGCGACCCCAGCGAGAAGAGCGTGCCTTCGTCGTCGCAGTCCTACGCGCGATGCTGGAGTCAGCCTCGAAGTACAAGCGACCACCGAGAACAAAAAGCACGGACCCCGGAGACGAAAGGCACGTCAGCGACGCTGCCATCAAGGACGAGTTGCTGCGGCGCATCGGTGAGGAAGACGCCGTCTACACGGGGGAGCCACGCGAGCCTGAGGGACTGGTACGAGAGAATTGAGGGCGATGCGTCGACAGCCTTCTTGAGCACATCGAAGTCAACGTTCCGGAGGCACTGAAGCGTATCTGGTGCACCCTGACAGCCGGTCTGGTTTACTATCGCGTCATAGTCGCTCTGTCCGTGCTCGATGTCGCCGACCGGAATGGGCGAGCCGCTCTGCATGAACGCCCCGCGGAAGAGTCCCTCGGTGTCACCGCCGTTGGTGACCATGTGGAGCGCGACGGAAATTGCACCCGCGCTCGCGCCCCAGCTGACGTTTGCAGGAAGGGATCAGGGTACGCGCTCGGGAAAGTGGAGGACCAAAAGACGTAGACGCACATGGTGACCTTGCTCGGGTCCCCTCCGAACTGAGAAATGTATTTCTGCACCCAGTGGAGAGCGAGACGTTCTGGAGAGAATGTTAGTTAGACGTGTCTTCGAGGAAGGGAAGACGTTGCTCACGGTCTTGGAGGCCGAGGTTGCCGACGCCAGCTTCCTTGACTTCCTTGCTGGCGAGGAAGCCGTACGCTGTGTGCATACGTTGAAGTCTTGGAATGGAAGACGCTACGGGAATCAAAACCCTTACCAGAGACACTGTAAGGAACGATGAGCCGACGCTTCGACATTTTCCGGATGAGAGCACTCACCGATAGTTCATGCTCACGAAGATCGTCGGCTCGTTCATAGCAATCGACCGCTTCACCACAACACCTCCTTTGGCCCTGAACACGGTACTTCGTTAGCATTTCCTCGTTTGAATGCGTATAACACGTACATGCTCGAACCGCCGACTTGAAATCCGCCTGCGCACCACGTAAGTCAGTCCTTGCACCATGGCGCAGGTTACCTGGTCTTACCTCCAAAAACCCACTAGCATATTGTCAGCCGATCGTTAGCAATAAACGAAAAAGGGGGCTGACCACGGCGACAGGTAGGTCGTCTCCGATCTTGGCTCCATTAGGAACGATCACGTTCAGCGAGAGACCTGCGGCAGGCCAAACGCAGCTCGTCAGCGCTTCCACAGTCCAGCGTAGACTTGAATTTCACGTACAGTCTTCGTCAGCGGATTCGATACTGGCAAACACGGTGGTGTTTGCGTAGTCCACGACATCCGAGGGGAGCTCAGCGAGGCTCTGCTGGGTTTGGGCCTGCTGGGGGCACGACGGCCCGTACGCGGTCACGTTATGTGTACCAGTGTACGCGTCGACGGCGACGGGTAGGTTGAAACGCAAGTCTTCGGTTCTGTGAGGCAAGGCGAATGAGCGTAACAGCGAGTTGTGAGACGAGACAGAGACGCACGGGGGCTTTCCGAACGGGATGCCGAGGAAGTTGTTCACGTCGCCGTCCGCTTCGCCCACGAAGGTACCCTGGTCGAGGGTGACGGTCGGAGGGGCACGCTTCTCAAGCCTGTCGGCGGGCACGGCGAGAGCGGTAGCTGCGAGTAGAAGGAGCGAGCAGGAAACACGGATTGAGGGCATGGTGGGGGTGGGGTGGAGGGAGACAAGCCGTTCAGCAAGGGGACGACCGCAGAGTGGCAGCGAGGTCCTTGCAGAAAGTCGCGCAGTGGGTGTGCGTTTTAAACCATGCGACTTCGGGTCCTGTTGGGAAGGAGATTCCGTGTGGAATACTCGCAGCGAGCACAGTTTGGAAGCCGGAGGCTATGTCGGCAGTAGGAGCGAAGCAAACGAAGTGCAGAGCAGCCGAGAGGGTGAATTGTTGAGAGTATTCGGCGGAGGAACAGCTACTGCTGGTGTGCAGGGACGAGTGGAGTAAGAGCCGAATATATCATTGCCGACGACTGAATTGTGCGAATAGCAATGTCTTGGTCCGTGTCTTCTTAAGTGGGTCAAATGGTGCAGTGGATGCGGCCGCGGGGAAGCCAGAGGGACTTGTGATTGTATGACGTTGACACCTCTGGCATTAACATATTCCTTTCGAGCCAATAAAGCATGTTACTACCAATTACTATGGTACTCACGGGACGTGTTCCTGTCCTCCGGACCTCTCTAAGGTTGTATCCCGGAAGCCTGAATTTCGAGGTGTAATCACCTCGTCCAAGTTTCATCCAGGAAAACCGCCAGGAGTGCCTAGGGAAAGAACATAAGTTATCGTGGCCGGCTGGAGCGCAATTTACCCTCATGCACCATGGATGACGCGGGGGCGGGGCGGACGAAAACGACCGGCGCTCAGCGCCAACATGGACGAGATCGGTGCCGGTGCCGGCCGAGCCTGCGAGGCCGGTGATTCCCCAAATCGCGGCGCGAGCGATCCCGCCCACCCGGCGGCTCGCTCCGCTCCGCGTCGCGCCGGGCGCTGTCGGGCTCAGGCCTAACCCTCACTGTCCGGTCTACGCCCGGCGACGAGGCTGGCTAGATGGCTGTCTTGCCACACAGATAGAGCTGCTTAGGCGAGAGCACGATGCAAAATTCAAATCGCGCGCGACAAGTTTTCTGTTCACTAGACCTGTTTACGTAAGCTGATTCTGATGTCTTGTGTGAATGCGCCAAAATATGATCTGACCTTGTTTGTGCCACTCGCATGAACAATGTTCTCTTTCTCTTATATCTTCGACGCCCGGGTCTCGCTCAGGTTACCCCCTTGCCCCGCTAAACCGCCTTATACCTTTTTGATTGACCAGAACGCGCTATAAACCTTTAGGCACGCGAGCTCAAGTCCCCCGTCGGGCCCCGCTTAAGTGCCGTTTGTGTCGGCACAATACTTGCAACATCAACTTCGGAAACTTGAGGTAGGTCATTCCCGCAAACACTGCCGCACAGTCACTAATCAGTCTATCTCAGCAATGCCGATCCCTGATGTGAGTTTTTCACCGCTCATCGAGATGCGTTGTTCCTTGGTAGTCATTGACGACGTCGCACGCCTGCAACAGAAGAACTTCCCCCTGGACGTCGTCCTTGAAATAATGACCCATGCAGAAAATTGCACGATCTCCCGTCTCATGCGAGCGAACAAATGGCTCAACTACCAAGGCTCCAAGATCCTTCTCGACACCGATCTTGTCATCATCAACACCAGCCATGCCCTCGGTTCCTTGGCTCGGTTTCTGCATGCTCAAGACGAATATCGACTCCCCCTTCTCCGCGGTCTGCATCTCGCGATGTATCAAATCAAAGGGGACGACGCCAAACTTTTGACTGGGCTTTTGTGGCCTCAAACGCGGACGTGGCGTTGCAAAGTGCGCCTCGTCAAGCTCGAGATCCTCCACCTCGAAGCTATTGCCCACGAAGGTCTCGCAGCCCTCGACATGTTCGCCTCCCTCAATACCATCAATAGCGTGCGGTTCGAGAATGTAGGCCATCTCGGCGCCGCAAACGTGCTGCGCCGCTTCAGCTCTCCCCTCACCGCGGCACATATCCTCTGGCGCTCGCAATACGAAGACACCTCCGGCCCGTCGGCCTTCGATCTGGGGTCTCGAACCCAGTGATCGTTCTCAGACACTCCTCCGCTACTCTGCAGACACTCACCGCGGAGTGGGCGGACTTCTCGGAATGGAGCAACGTCATCATCGTGTACCCCAGGCTGACACATCTCACTCTCGCGCACGTCGACACCAGAATCACCGCCGACCTCGCAGAGGCGTACCCCAACCTGATCGAACTGGACGTCTCCGCCATTGACATCCTGGTGGACGACCTTGAAGCCGTACAGCTGCAGCGCATGGACAACATCCAGGAACAGGCCGCTCGCGGACATGGCCGTCCCTGCGGAAGGTCGTCTCGCAGCTGAACGACCTCTACGCTCTCGCAATCGCGTGCCGCATCCGCGAGCTCCGCATCCGGTATATGAGCCAGTCGTTCAACCGCGACTTTTTCAACATCGTCCTGGACGACGCACGACCGTCCCACCTCAGCTTGGAGGAGTTCGGGGGCGACCTCTTCTCCACCGGCATCGCAGAGACGTTCCGCGCGCCGATCGCGGCGCAGGTGGAGTGCTCGAGGCCGTCTTCGTCCTCGCGAAGAGCTTCACCCACGACTCGACGACGGCCCCGCGATGGTCGTGAGTTATCATCCCCCTTCTCGACTCTCTTTCCGACACGGAACTGACCAGTCCTCTACACAGGAGAGCTGGCTCACGACCGTCCCGGCGCTGTCGGGCCTTAAGGTCCTCAGTATCGCAGTGGACTGCTGTCGCATCAACGACCCGCTTTGCGACGGCGGGGGGTTCTTCGAGGCGCTCGATCTAATGGCGCTCGCGCGACGGTTCCGCGAGGCGATCCCGGCTCTCGAATTCGTCGAGCTCGCGGTCGCGGGGCTCTATAGGTGCGAGCCAGCGGTGGTGCGCGATGGTGTGCCGAGCGTTGGCTACGAGACGAGCGCGGTGGAGTCCGTGCTCCGCGACGACGCGCGGCGTAGGAGTCAGTACTTCAGTGAGTAGTCTCCTTGACATTCCTGTTCCTGGGTGGAACGGTGCGCTTATGCTCAGCACAGGCGAATGAATGCGAAACTGGTGTAGCTTGGGTTGAGCGGGCCGCCTGGGCGCACGCCGCAGTATTCTGTGGGCTTCAAAGGGCGCATTGGGCGTGGGACGAGCCCCGCGGTCTCGGGGTCTCGCGTGACAGAATGGGCGCAGTGCGTGTTGTACCGCGAATATAAGCTTAAGGTGGTCGCGGTATGTTTTAGACTGGGTGAGAGTGCAGTGGGACAACATACGAGACTAAGCCACCCGGCCCGGCCAGCCCGATATCGAGCTGCTTCTTTCTCCCTTCCTCACCTGTCCTAGCAGCTCCTCAGCTCCCACGGCGTTTTCAGAGACGCGTCACGGGCTGCTCGTGGGACTCGCCCGACCACCGACCATCGTCTCGACTCCACCCGTGCCCGCCCCCAGTAGGTACGTCGACTATATGCGTCATCTCCATCTCAGGTTCGACCTGCTGACGCAAATTGTGCCCACAAAAACTCGTCTTATTCACCGATAAGCATTGCCCATATGTCCCAGGAACCGCTTCTCCTCGACGTTCTCTTCCACATCATGGCTCATTGCGACGACAAGACCATATCTTCGCTCATGGCAGCGAACAAGTCGCTCAACCTAGAGGGCGCCAAGTACCTCCTTGACAGTCCGCGCATCACCATGAACACCAGCCGCCGACTCGACTCCTTAATCACCTTCTTGTCTGCCTACAATGGCTCCCGACTCGCGTTCTTCAAAGGGCTCGGCTTGGAGATGAGGTCGCTCCCGAACACCGTCGGGACGCGTCTGGCACAGCTTCTGACGACGCACGTCGATAAGCTCGCACTTACTTTGCTGCACATCCCCCACCTCGACGTCATCTTGGAACGCTGCCACACTCTGTCCGCCGCCTTCGCTGCAGTCACTACTCTCACCTATATCCGTATCGGCGGCATCGACATCGTCGGCTCCGAGATGCTACGCGCCTTCACCTCCAAACTCAGGTCCGCCGATGTACACTTCACTGCGGTCTCGGAAACCAGCATCGACGAGGGTTCCAGCCGAATCATTCGCGAACAAAAAGCGAGGACCCCGATTCTCGTCCTCAAAAACTCCCAGTCCTCGCTCGCCGACTTGACGGTCGGCATCGCCAACATGCAGCGGATCCATGGGGACGACGCGTTCGAGGAGGTGTACCCTCTCCTCTACCGCCTCACGATCCGAGATACCCCGATGCTCGGCGTACTCACCCGCACGATGGCCCTCGCATTCCCCAACCTGCAAAGCCTCTTTTTCATCCAGCTCGCGAGGGCCAACGACGACCCCAACGCGGCCGACGCGCAGCACGAACGCAACGTCGCCGACCAGCTCGCCCACGGCTCCTGGACGTCCCTCAACACCATTTCGGCTCACATCATGGACCTCTACATGCTCAGTCCGACGTGCCCGGTGCGCAGGATCGACATCCTGGGCCCCGTCATGCAGACGCGCGCCCTCCGCCGCGTCCTCAAGCACACGCGCACCGTCCACCTCTCGTTCGGACACTTTGAAGGCACGCTCTTCACGCCCGCACTCGCGCAGATGCTGCAGAAGCCGTGCGCGGCGACCATCCAGTGCCTCGAGGTCGTGTTCCGCGTCGGGTGCGGCCTCCCCGCCGAGCTGGTCGACGCGCCCGCGATGTTGGTGAGCGCGTCTTCGAAGTCCCACTGCGCCATCCAGCTGATCAGATGCCTCCCTCCTCCTACCCACGCGCCTTCGTAGGAGCACTGGGTCGCCGCGATCTGCGGACTCCCGCGCCTGCGCGTGCTCGCCCTCGGGATCTACGGCGAGCTCCGCCCGTTCACGCACCTCAGCCCGAACGCGTGGGCGCCGTCCGCGGCGGAGCGCTTCCTGGCCGCGCTCGACCTCGACGCGCTCGCGCGCCGGCTCGCGGACGCGATCCCGACGCTCGAGACCGTCGAGCTCGCGGTGACGGGCGTGCGCGGGCGGAGCGGGCCGGCGTCTGTGCGACGCGGCCCAGAGAGCAAGGAGTTCGAGACGCACGCGGTGCAGATGGCGGAGATGTTGGAGGAGATGGAGGTCAAATAGGCGGTGCGAAGGGGGAAAACGAAAGACGATGTTGAAGCTGCTCTTCATGATGCTATCGATTGTTCTGTGTGGTTGCACATCACGTTGGGGATAGTTCGAACATAGAGGTCAAGGAGACCGCCAACGATTGTCGGGTTGGCGGACCGACCGAGCTGGCCGAAGATCGAGCGATGACGTAGCGGCTTCTGAGTTCTCGCCCTCCGCGGCCGCTAGCGCTCAGCGCTCCATGACCACGCACCAGCGTCTATCGATTATCTCTTGCCCCGCTGCCTGCTCTCTGCCCACTACTCCTCGCGCTCTCCTCTTCCGAGGTGAGTCTCATATATGCGTTTGGTTTATCTCACAAACCACGTTCATACTCGACCAGAAGTCTGCATATTGAATGCTTTCCAGGGTAAGTACTTGGAATACCCGTTGTACGAGCTAGGGCAGATCGTGTCACTGAGCCCACTACACCGGACAGGAAACCGCTCTCGCTCTTGATGTCCTCCTGGATATCATGTCGTTTTGTGACGACACTACCGTCTGCCGCCTCATCCAAGCCGACAAATCACTTCATCGTGAGGGAGCTAAGCAACTTCTCTCCCACGATCTCATCACGATCTCCACCGAAGACGCCCTCGATTCCTGGATCCATTTCCTAGCTTCTCGAGGCGGTTATCGACTCGTATTTCTTCGAGGACTTGGTCTCAACATCAGCTATGTTGGCACGCCCATATCTCGCCGCTTCGACATGCTTCTCAGAAGACACTCCAATCACGTCCGCCTTCAGAGGATAGACATCGCCTACCTCGAAGCACTTGAGCGTACTTCCCCTAGTATCATCCTCCCCCTTTGCCGCCTAAAGACCCTCGAAACGGCCCGTTTCAACGGAGCTGGCTTCCCAATAACCTCAAGTCTCCTCTCTGTCTTTCACTCCAATCTAACGACAATTCATATCGAATGGGGGTCAGTCGGTGACGTCCTCGACAACCCTGACTTTGATCCCTCGGATGAATACGACTTCCGCAACCCCATACTCAATCTACACATCTATCTGCACACGCTTCAGCATTTGACAGCCGTGAACGCAGTGTTCCAGTTCAAGGGCAACAGTTCCCCCGTCTACGCCGACGTCTACCCCCATCTAACGCATCTCACCCTCACCAACGTCAACGCCCCGATCACCGCCGCCCTCGCGCGCGCATACCCAAACCTCACCGACCTCACGATCGCCCTCCACCCCCACCTCTCCGATGACCCCCAGGATTCGTACATCCTGCACGAGATCAACTCCGAGCGCCAAGCCGCGCACGGCTCCTGGCCCGCCCTGAACTCGGTCACCGCGCCCTTCCGCGACCTCTACATGCTCGCGATCCCGTGCCCCGTCCGCGAGGTCCGCATCACCGATCTGCTTCCACGTGCTGCGCGCGGTGCTCGAGCCCGCGCGCCCGCGCCACCTCGCCTTCCTCCACTTCGACGGCGGCATCTTCTCGGAGTACATGGGGTACGTGCTGCAGGAGCCGCTCGCGGCGGGGGTCGAGATCCTCGAGCTGCACTTCGACCTGTCCGGGCGCGTCCTCGACGCGGACGGGGTCGAGGTCGGGGCCGAGGAGATGGTCGTGAGTCCGCTCCCCTTCGCGCACGCGACCGCGCTGAAATGACCCCAACGTTGACGCTACTGCTGCGCGCTTCAGGACGGCTGGGTGGACGCGATCGCGGAGCTGCCCAAGCTGAGCATGCTGGCCATCGCGATCGAATGGTGCTTTGTGGGGGAAGCCGGAGAGGGGTCTGGAAGAGGCCCGTCGGAGGAGTATTTCTTTACGCTCGACCTGGAAGACCTCGGCGAGGAGTTGTGTGACAGGATCCCCACGCTGAAGACGCTCGGGCTCAGGATGAGCGGGCTGCGCGGGCGCCTGCCGGCGTCGGTGTCACTGGCGCGCGAGTAGCAGCAGAGCGTGGGTCCGCAGGAAGAGGTGACGCTAGATGAGTTGGGCGCTGGGATTTTGGAACTCGGTGAGTGATTGTGCGTGCAGTGCAAGACCTGCATACTGAGAAGAATTTCATCCCCCCACGGCGCGTGCCCGACGGTGACTGGGCGCATCTTGGTAGTGGTCTGTCGTGGAGCACTCGCCCCCCCGGTGTTCTGGCACCCTGCAGGCCACGCAGGTGGGCGGGGTCCGTCACCGCGAAGAGACCTATGGCACAACATAGTAGGGGCCAGGAAGTGATACTGAAGGGTACACACATTGGTGAGGGTAGAGGGCCGAGGACGGCGGAGCATGTATGAGAGCGTGGCAGTATAGTAGACACAGTGTGCGGTCGCGCGCTGCTTGCGCACCGCACCGCGACTAGCATGCAGGCGGATTAAAACTCCGCTCGAATACACGTGATGGGCGAAATCGATCTTGGGGCCCGCGCCAGTAATTACTCACTTGCCGTCTTCCGCTAGTCCATGTCTGTGCATATCGGCGGCTTCCTCCTCACACCCGAATCTCTGCGCCTTCTGTGCGTCTCAGCCTACGGCATACAGGACCACCAAATTGACCCAGGCGACGAGTTCCACTGGGCTATCCTGCACTTTATCGATAACGATATCCTTGAATGTCCCAACCTTGTAACTTATCACGGTGTCGACGGGAATGGCGTCCCCACACACAAGTATGTTCTTGTGTGCCGTCTGGCCTTCGTGGAAGACGGACTGGATGTGCCAGATTTATCCCTCGATAAGACCACCATGGCGTATGTGAACCACTGGTTTCCTCCGTGGGTACGCGCTCTTGATGTTTTCAAAAACGCCAAATACGTCCAGTACCTTTATGCTACTGGCATGGTCTGTGAGTGATGCCTCTCTCTAGTGCGGTCACTCCTAACGACTGGTCTGTACAGCGGTCGCCATCATACGCAGGAAAATCGAGCAGTACTTCTCAGGTGCTGACTTGAAGGGGCGCCCTTGCGCGTCGCTATGGCTTCGAGAGGAAGAAAGTGAAGGGAGGTTCCACTCCTATGTGGTGAGAGCCTCTCGTTCTCGTGCTGCGAGTTTTCACTGACAAGAACAGCCGCCACCAATACCAACTTCATACGTTGTTCCTGACGACGACGACGACGACGATCCAGGGGACGAGATAGACTCCGAGGTAAGTATACGAGTTCCTTGCTCCTCACCCGCAGTGACCCGACATCGGTTTCTTATTAGCGCAAATCCCTCTGGCCAAGCATCTAGCAGGAGTAATCTGATGGCCTTTGCGGTCAATCGTGACGGCGGGCTTGTTGTATCTTTATTTTTAGTTTATAAGTTTTTCTCTTTCCCTCCACTGCATCATACGAACGCGCGAACTGGATGCTTACCGGCCTAATGCTAAGCCCAACGATGTATATCTCATTTCTCCGGCTCATGAGGGAAGCGCGACGGAGCAGCCCTGCAGATTATGTTACGGCGTGGACGTAGCGAGTTCGAGCCTCGGAGGACCTGTCGATAAACGTGTGATTGTTGTGTAAGACTGGGGTCAAGCACGGACAGCTACATCACGTGATCGTTTGGCAGGCATTCGCATAAAAAGTCTATCACAGGTCGTAAACTCATGGTTATGCGAATTCCGTTTCCTGAGGATCATGCAGTAAACGTCAATACATAATTCTCAGGAAGCCGATTTGTTGATTTCTGTTTCTACTGACCCCTGATAGCAATGGGAACGGGCGGCAAACGGGCGGCAAGAGCAAGCTCTCCGCCAAATTGCAGATCAGCGCCCGTTTCACGTGCCGCAGCAAGTAGCTGTTTGTGCTTGACCCCAGTCTTATATGTTTGCGCTTTTCCGCTCCCCGCCCCCGGCCAATATTGTTGGATGTCCATGACGTCATCGCTCAAAATGGGAGCGAGTGGCACGTGCCTACAGTCGCGAACATCGGCGCTTAGGCAATGATCATGTCTTGTCCCTTTCGCATTCATCGACGTCTCCGGTCCCCTCCTGAAGTGTAGGTGGGACTATACCCTCTCGCTTCAGAGGATCTCTTGTGGTCCTACGGCGAGAACTGTACGAAGATGTTCGCTGACGCGGCACTTGGGCTTGACTTGGGCAACCGTTTTTATCAACACCATCCGCCGACACCCTGAGACTCGGACGAAGGAGCGGACGCTGATATGCTCCGCCCCGACGCTTCTTCCACAAATTATGGAGAAAGTGCGGACCCAATTCTAATCCGGGCCCCTGTCCACTCTAACCGTACGGCCGCAGTCGCTTAGGGCTGTCGGATATGTCTAGCGCTCGTATCCGCTCGTGCTGGAGACTCGGAACGCCAACGACGGCTCCCCTAGACCATGAAAAAGGAGGTCGTTTGGAAAAGATATATAAGGACCACCCGCTGGACGTCAAACCCATCATCCAACAACGCCTGAATTCCCATCCAGCACCCTTCCGTTCTCATTCTCGTTGCACGCATCTTCTCTGCGCTCACGTCGACATTCTCTCTGCCCTTGTACAATTTCCTCGCATCGCCTACTCCTTCATTCGTCACATACTCCAGACATGCCCTCCAACGCGGTGGACCGTATTCCCAACCTGACGGGCAAAATCATCGGCGATGGTTACCAGCTCCTCGAGCTCATCGGTTCCGGCGCCGGCGGAGTCGTCTACAAAGCCATCCACCTCCCAACCGCCCGCTCTTCCCAGCCGATTTTTCGCGCCGTCAAGGTGATGCAGAAGGCGGGTCTCAGTAAGCGCGAGCTGGCCGCCGTCAACCAGGAGATCCAGTTCCACCTCACCTGCGCCGACCAGCCGGGCGTGGTCACCATCCACGACGTATGTGACAACAAGAGCTACTTCTACCTCGTCCTCGACCTCTGCGACGGCGGAGACCTTTTCGGGCGCATCTGTGATCTCCGGGCGTACGAAGGCAACGACACACTTGTTCGGACCGCGTTCCTCTCCCTCCTCAACGCCGTCAGCGGCATACATTCCCGCGGCATCGCGCACCGCGACCTCAAGCCGGAGAACGTCCTCGTCAACCACGACGGCTCACGCCTCTTTCTCTCCGACTTCGGTCTTGCCACCGATGCCACGAAGATAACCATATACGGCTGGGGCACCGGGATCTACATGAGCCCTGGTACGCACCTTCCATACCGCGTCCGTGCAGTCCGCTAACACGTACATTTTCGTTTTGCAGAGGCTACGGGCAAGCTCAACGGGCGGGTCCCATATTGTCCCCGGACGAGCGACGTCTGGGCGCTCGGCATCATCCTCGTCAATATGATCACCGGCCGGAACCCGTGGATGCGTGCGCGACACGACGACCCGGACTTCAAGGCGTACGTCGATGACCCAGAGTCCTTCATGGAGGCCCTCCCGGTTTCTCGCGACATCGCCGGCGTTCTCCTGCGCACGCTCGTCATCGACCCGCGCTGCCGCATCTCGCTCGCGAACCTCCGCCGCGCGATCGTCGACGCGCCCACGCTCTTGAAGCACCGTGCTGCTCCCGAGCGCTCGTCCCGGGAGGATGAGGACGAGTCGGTCGACCGGACACCCGTACAAGCGCATCGTTCAACCTCATCATCCTCCGTCAGCCTGGACTACGATTCCGCATCCGCACACGCGGACCCCGTCTCTAACAGCGACCTCCCAGCACCCGCCCTCTCGCATCTCCGCGCGCGCTCGCGCCTCCGCCGCGCCCTCCGCGACGACCAGAACCGCCGTGCCCAGGACTCCGCTCGAAGGGAAGCCTTCGACCCCGCCAACCTCGCCACGCCCAGGCCGCACCAAAACGTCTGGGCCCCCTCCGCCGCCGCTTTCTCCGCCGCGGCGCTGCGCCCGCCCGTCGCCCACTCGCCCTCATCCTCGCTCTCGTCCGCATCCGCCTACTCCTGCGATTCCTTCGCCCGCGGCTCGAGCTCCGCCGCGTCCGCGTCCACCGCCGCGACCTCGTGCGCGAGCGTCTCGCGCTACCCCGACGACGCCGTCGTCCCCCCCAAGGCCCGGTCCGTCGCGCTCGCGGCCGCCGACAAGCCGTACAAGCCCACGCGGGACCCCGCGCCGCGCGAGCTGGGCGCAGAGCTCCGCCAGAGCATCCGGGCGGCAGCGGCGGCCAAGGCGGCGGTCAAGCCGCGGGTGCAGGTGAAGGAGCAGCGGCAGTCGCGCTTCAAGGTGCGGGTGCCGCAGATTCTGCGCCGGTTCGTGCCGGGACCTGACGCGGTCGAGCTTGCGAAGTTGGGTTGATGTGGTGCCAGTACTATTGTATACATAGAGTCCGCGGTGTGGACGCCGCGGGGACACAGGTTGTCGTCGTTCCGAGGACTATTTATTGATCATGATTTTCTTTTTCCTAACTGCTGAACGCACGCATGCTGCGACAAGGGATGACAACATTTGAACGGTGAGATTGGCTCACATTAAGACTCTCAATGCCCTTCTAATTTACGCTCTCTTATATCCGCTGTACGAACTTGCGATGGGATGATACCGAGATACAGAGTGCAGCTGTTGAGGGCGCTCTGATGACATTTGGGCGCTGGAGATTAGATTGGATATTCCCGGACGGGCGTGTAATCTAATCTTATCTAGGTTCTGTTGATTGCCCCCACTACTAAGGTACCTCGTCCGTCGAACGTACCATGATCCGTAACGTCCTTCGGAACCTCCCAGTA